ATACTAAAGTGGGAAAAATACATCTGCTTGCATCTGCACAAAATAGTCTTGAATACAGTAGAAAATTTTTAATGTTTGTTGCTTCTGGGAAAGGGAACTGGGTGGCTGGGGTTAGGATTAGGAGACAGACTTTTCACTGTATACCCTTTAGAAGTGGTGATGTATACATTTTAACTTTTCAAAAACAGTAAACAAAACTAAGTATGGAAGTCTGATATGTAAGTTCAGGAATAAATACGTCATTAAGAATTAATAATCCTTAAGATTATCATTTTCACTTCCCTCATTAAAAAAATGTGGTGAGTTGAAATTTCAAAAACTGATTTAGACTTAGGTAGTTTGAAAAGCAACCAGGCAAAGGCATTGCTGAGTGTCTGGAAAGGGCAAGAATCGTCATTATTTATGAGGCATATTTCTGGGAAGGGTATCAGCTTTAACAATGCAAACATTTTTAGGGTTTGAGGAAAGCAGGTTAGGATGCTGAATTTGTATTGAAATTCAAAGCAAATAAATCATGGAATTAAATCAGGAGAGATGCACTCACTTATATATATGTGTGTTTGTGTGTGGGTATGTATTATATATAATATTATACACTGTATGCTTGTAGAAGCCCAAGGAATCTTAAAAAAAAAATGCAGCTCAGAATTATATCCAAAGTTAAGAAGTCTCTTTTCTAACTTGCAGTAAGATAGCTTAGTAATTTATGCTTTAGTTCTTTGCAATGATATGAGCCAAAGATGGCCCATTTAATTTTTGGCATATTTAAGTTTTCCTCTTTTCTGATTGAGCTGAATTAAACTTGCTTTTATAAGTTACACCCATTCATTGGTCTGATGTCTGGAGCTACCCAAAGTGCAATTAATCTTATTTCTGAAGAAGCAGCTTTTTAAAGTTTTGAATAAAGTTTTAGCATCCCTGGTGATTCTCCCCAGTTAAACTTAGTTTACAATAGTTTCTCCATCCTTCATCAAAATTGTAGCCCTTTATAAATTACCACCTATTAAAATGTGGCACTCAGAACTGGTGATAATGTTAGAAATCTGGTCAGAGTAGACCTTGGCGAGCTGATTATTGGTGTTGATTTGTATAATATGCTTTATTGATTTGGGTCATGAATACTTTTTTAGTAGCCATATTTCATGGATGACATGTTGACCTGTAGTCTGTTTAAATCCCTTACAATCCTCTTTTGTAAGTAGTCAGTTGGCTGCTGAACCATCTTATGTATCTGTGGCTGGCTTTTAGGAATTAAGGGCAGGATTGCATGCTTGTCTTTATTCAACCTAAAAGTTTTGGTTCATTTAAAATCATTGGGGTATTTAATTAAATCTACATTAATTTTCTCTACCATCTGTACGTCCCAACTACTTTAGCTAAATCTTTTAAATTGGAAGAAAAATAATTAGTTTTAAAAGTTGCGTATATTTAACAATTCTAAAATATTAACAAATTTTAGCTAGGCCCTGACCAGGTTCATCATACAAGACTGTAATGCTTAAGCATTTTTTTTTTAATATTTAAGCATTTTTAATGTTAACGTTAAAAAAGTAAATGTTACATGTCTGTGTCCATAAGCTCTAAGCTTCATCTGTCAAGGTTTAGAAATAGAGGGTAATGATAATATCACTGTTCCGAGATAAATGATTTTTCAAATAAAAAAAATAAAGCAGATACCGACCATAAATTATATTGAACATTGTGGAAAATGGTACTGTAATAGGAAGAAGACATCAAAGTTCTCTACCTAGCTGGGAGGATCTTAGTTTACTCTCCTTTGATTCTAGTATTTAACGATTAACTTTATTTTCATTCTCACTGTTTTTTCCAGTAGGTGGTAAGGATTATGGATGTGTAAGTCACTATAAACAACCATAGGATGTAACAATGATTTTTGTGAAAGGCGTTGTTCATCCCCGGTGCAAGACTTCATTATTTTTATATGCTTTTCATTTATAAACATGAGAAATTTTGCTTTCCTAATATTTAGCATAGGGATCAAATAGTTAATTATTTTTAAACTTTAAACAGTATCTATCTCTACACTGTCCATTAACACGTGTCTATTTAAATAGAAATAAAAATTAAAATGTAGTAATTTAAAAATTCAGTTAACTTCTACTAGCCATGTTTCAAGTGCTCAATAGCCACTTGTGTCTAGTGGGTAGCTTATTGGGCAACACAGATTATAGAACATTTTTATCGTTGTAGAAAGTGCTCTATTGAATGATGCTGATATAGACACAAATGATTTTCATGCAAATTTCTGACTATCCTCACATTAAAGGTAGGGTGAATCCTAGAGGAAAGCATAATAATTCCTTAATGATTTTTATAAGAATAGAAATGTTGTAGGTTAATTATGAAAAATCTAGAAAATATAGAGGAATAAAAAGAACAAAGTAAAGTTTCTCGATGACTTTCTATTTTTAACATTTGCTTTATATTCTAGTCCTTTTTTTTCTCTGCACGTGTGTACATGTGTGGGGATGATTTTACTTGTGCACATTTCAAGTAAAAAGAGCAAGAATATAAAAAACCATTTTAACAGGAAATATTTTTGCTTTATAGAAGTTTACCTAAACTTTGTTCTAAATCTAAACTGTTTATCTTCTATGTTTATAGTTAGCCTTTTGACTAAAAATGTTATTATAAAAATACGGTTTCATTCTAGATTATTGTATGAGTTAGGAGTATTGGAAATTATCTCCAGTTATTTATTTTCCTTTAAATGCTCTTTAAAAATTGCATTTGCCTGTATCTAATATCAGCATTTACCTAAAACACTTCACATGATTTCATGAAGTTTCACTATGAAGTGGTGACACAAGGCACTTGGAAACTTTATTCTGACTTTTTACTCGTCTTCATCCCATTTGATATTTGGCTCTGTCAGCAGCATCTTTGACTACCAGTGTTAATTGGTAGGTGCATGCTGGCTTTGTTGGAAATTACTATGAATTTGTTAATGAAGCTTGAGTATATGGGTAGGCGAATTTAAAATCTGCCCATTCTGGTTTTTACCTGGTGTTAATGCTTCACGATGATCAGAGTTATGTATAGTATTCATTTTAGATGTGTTCCTTTGGTTTATGGGAAGTGGAAGATAAGGCAGTAAATGATTCATGGTAGTGGAATCAAGGTGTGGTGGTAAGACAGAAGTATAGGATGTTGCCATCTTTTTGCTTAAATCATTAAATTTCTTCATGTTTATATCTTGAATCTCTTTTCACTATGAAACCATATTTGCTTATAAATTTAATGCTGATCAGTAAGAAATTATCAGGGAGGAGTAGGAAAAGTTTCTAAATAACTAAGAGTTTAAGAAAAGGTAATAACTATTTTAACGAGTGTTTTATTTACAGTGCCATTTTTAGCTTTAAAGTCACTCATTAATGTAAAATTAAGAATTATCATGCTGTAGCCCAATAAGTTTATGAATTTCTCTGATAGTTAAAAAGTACTGAAATAAATTGTATTTTTGTGCTCTTAACCATCTGCCCGATAGGATTATTTATGACGTAAATTAAGAGGATCTTGAAATTTCATGCCTCCAAATTATAGTAATTTCTGACACTTCAGTGTAGTATTCAGACTCTTTTAATTATAGGGAAGCAGAATGATTGGTTTTTCATGATTGTGATTTGGTACATACGCACATGTATGTAGATAGCTAAGAGTGGAGTAAGAAATGAAGGCAGCCCTTTCGTAAAATGTTAGGCTGTAAGGATAGTACAGTCATCCCAGAATTTGCCTTGTTTAGGATGGCTTCTCCAAACTTGATGAGTATGTATGTGCTTTGCATAGGTAAATTTTAGGATATACGTTTTGAAACTGTCCATCAAAGGTCCTATTTTACAGGAGAGTAAAAATAAAAACATTTTAAGTGGATACTTTGCATCATATTTTCTTATCCCATCAAATGCTCTTGAAGTGGTAGTGAAAAGGATTATTTGGTAACAGAAGGTATTCGTCCTAGTTCCTTTCTTTGTGGATACCGAATCTGGGAATGTACCCAGAGATTTGAGAAATCATACACTTTTTTTTTCTTTAGTGACTCCAGGACACATTATAACACATGAGAACACTGTAAATTGTTAGCAGGGAAATTTTGGCAAAACTATTGGGAGGCTTGAAATAATCTTGAAAAGAGAGCTTTTTACTTACCTAAGGAGAATTAAGTAAAGAAGCAATTTTTAAGGACCTGTGGAATGCTAAGCACTGTGGTGAACCCTTGGAGAAGTTTTCTGAGCTGAATCCTTTTGTCAGCCCTCTCTCCGAGTGTTACTAAAACTGAGAGGCAGAGAAGATAAGTTCCCCAGGATGTCCTGTAGCTAATGAGAACTGGAATTAGTCAAGACTCCAGAAGTCTATTCTTTCCATTGTTCATTTTCTCCTGCAGTCTCTGGGATTACAAATAATAATAATAATAATAATAATAATATCAGGGAGGAAATAGAGTGTATACATATGTATGTATTTGAGTGTGGGTAAGATGAAGACTAGAGTTAGAGTGGGTTTAAAGCATATCATGAGAAGACATTTGAAAGGCAGTTTATGGTAGTTTAAACTGATAGGGGTTATGACAAAAAGGTGTTCAGTATAAATGGTAGCTGTTATTATTACTCTGGAGATTCTCTGAATTCTCACGTAATTGAATAAAGTTCTTTCAGTCTGTGGGAAAAATGGATATTAGCTGTTTATGTCAACAAGGACCACTAATAATTTAGATGTGCAGCTTATGAATAAAGTTATCAAAGTGCTCCTTATTTGTCAAGTATTTCTATTTTATAGATGGGAAAAGCACTTATGCCATAACTAGTGGCTCTTCTAATAAATACTTAGGTATCTAAACAATACTGCATTGACTATGTCTGAGGTAGAAGTGAAATATATTGATTTCTTGGGTGATTGAATAGAGGATTTATGCATTACCTCAGGAAGGAAATACATTTTAGGGTTTTACCTGTTTCTTAAATGTTTGTATTCTTTATTTCTAGGCTGTTCGCTGCTACGAATCTCTAATCTTAAAAGCTGAAGGAAAAGTGGAGTCTGATTTCTTTTGTCAATTAGGTCACTTCAACCTCTTATTGGAAGATTATCCAAAAGGTAATTTTTTCCCTTATTAATTACCGTTTGATTTATGTATATCTAAAATAATTGTAATTGTACTCTGTTGAGGATACTACCATTTCTATTTCTAAGAAATTGTAAGCTTGTGAACATCCTAAACAATGAGGAATAAAAATGGAGTAGGTAGAAATGTGAAAAATTCACGTAACTCTATGTAAATCATCAGTAATTTGACCAGTTTAACTGATAACCACCACCTACATGTACACTACCATTTTGTTCTACCTTGTGAAAAATCCCTGCCCCTTAAAGGCTCTACCATAGTAGAAAGTGAGTCATTGGGGCGCCTGGGTGGCTCAGTCAGTTAAGCGTCTGCCTTCGGCTCGGGTCATGATTCCAGGGTCCTGGTATCAAGCCCCACATTGGGCTCCCTGGTCAGCGGGGAGTCTGCTTCTCTCTCTGTTTTGCCCCCTTGCTTGTGCTTGCTTTCTCTCTAATAAATAAGATCTTTAAATACAAAAAAAGAAAGAAAAAAAAAAAAGAAAGTGAGCCATGAATTGATACTTTGAAGAAGTAACAGAGACAGTTATTTCCCTTTTTTATCCTGGCTATAAAACTTCCGTTTAGCTAGAAAATATTTGAATGAAAATCTGATCTGTAGTCATGTTATTGTAAAAGTAAGCAGTACAGGAGAGATGATCATATAATGAGCTTGAGCATTGGAGAAAACAAATTTTTTATTCATTTGAAATTTTTTTCCTGTAAGCAATGAGTTAAATAACTCAAGGCCATCCCCCAAGATGTGTCCCTTTTATAGTACTAGGCCGCTGATGCAGACCATTAGGAAGATAAAGTACCCCCAAATACCACCCACTCTCCCAACACCAAAGGCAAAATCCATAGCAAAGAAAAATTGTATCCTTATAAACAAGAATGTTTTAACCTTCTGATGTTAGTAAACATCTGAATGTGGACCAGATAAACATAGTATGCTTGTTTTCCACTACCGTGTTTTGTGGGCAGAACAAACTGCAGGTTTTAGGGCTAGAGTGAAGGATTGTTGCTGTTTAATGTTGATGTTTTATAATGCCACCTTTGTGTTAGGTCAAGTGAGGACTTTCCTAGTGAAAATTCAATTTTTATTTGAGAGAGGTGTAATATAGGGAGTTCATCTCTATTGTGTGTGTGTGTTTTTTTTAAAGATTTTATTTATTCATGTGAGACACAGAGACAGGGAGAGGGAGAAGCAGGCTCCCCGCTGAGCCAGGAGCCCGATGTGGGGCTCCATCCCAGGACCCCGTCGTGAGCTGAAGGCAGACGTGAGCCAAAGGCAGATGCTTAACCATCTGAGCCATCCAGGCGCCCCTCATCTCTATTGTTTACAGCGGCATTATTGTTAACATATTGTGTATATACCCCTGAGCTTCCGTCTTCTAATCTGAAAAAGCAAGAGATAAAGGGATTTGGGGATTGTTAATATGAAACTGGTTAGTACTTAGCAAAATGTCTTTAGGATAATAGGTATTAATAATTACTTAACACTCTATTAGATATTTTAATTAAGACTAACTCATTTAAAGGAAACTATTTTACAAAAAAATACACAAATTCTGTACAACATAATTTTTTCTTAATGCTGCATCTTGGAGAGCGTGCTATAGTATGTGTGTGTGTGTGTATAGTAGCCTTTAAAACTTTATTTTTTATTATGTTAATCACCATACACTACATCATTAGTTTTTGATGTAGTGTTCCATGATTCATTGTTTGCATATAACACCCATTGCTCCATGCAGAACGTGCCCTCTTTAATACCCATCACCAGGCTGACCTCTCCCCTCTAGAACCCTGTTTGTTTCTCAGAGTCCATAGTCTCTCATGGTTCGTCTCCCCCTCCGATCCCCCCCCTTCATTTTTCCCTTCCTGCTATCTTCTTCGTCTTTTTTTTTTTTTTTAACATATAATGTATTATTTGTTTCAGAGGTACAGGTCTGTGATTCAACAGTCTTACACAATTCACAGTGCTCACCATGGCACATACCCTCCCCAATGTGTGTCACCTAGCCACCCCTTTAAAACTTTATTAACCTATGAACTTAACTATATTTTCCATTTTATAAAATGTTTGGCTGTGAGGGTATGAGTCTAGGGATATTTGTTTTATTAGAGGTTTTCTTCCTGCCTTCCTTCCTCCCTTCCTCCCTCCCTCCCTCCCTCCCTCCCTCCCTCCCTCCCTCCCTCCCTTTCTCCCTTTCTCTCTCTCTCTCTCTCTCTCTCTCTCTTTTTCTTTCTTTCTTTTGGAGGTAAGGTGGGGCGTGTGGCAAACTAGCTGGCAGGAGTAATCTAATAAGATGTGAGCAGAGAACCATAACTTTTAAAGATATAAGTCCTTGAAAAGAGGTGCTCTGAGACCCATTTACTGTCATGTAGATGAACTGGCCATTGATAGCTAGGCAGTAGGTCAGTTATTTGTAATAGGAAGAAAAGGGAGGTGAGAATGGATGCAGAGGTATATATATGTATTTTATTATATTTTAGTATTTCAAACTGAAGGCTTCTGTTTCCTTGATTTTTTTTTTAAATCCTCCTTGAATCTTTATTGACCACATTTCCAAGTTACAAAAAAATTCCTTTTTACATACTAATTATTGAATTCTTTCTGTCCACTCTTCACCATCTTCCTGTAAATCCAAAACTAGAGCCCATCTTGAGTAGGCCCCTCCATACTCCATCACCACTACCACCAGTTTATGGAGACATTTGTTACCTCAGGCTGCTTCCTCCTTCTCTCTTTGGAACCCAGTGCAAGCTGAGAACCTCCAGCTCCAGCCAAGTAGACATTTAATTTTGGAGAACAAATTATAAACCATAACTTTTTAGGGAGTAAACATAAACCACTCAGTGAACATGTGAGTAAATTGCTCAGGTATATGTATGTGGGGGACTTACTGGCCCTGTATTCTGAAGACAGTTCTTTAATTATAGTACTGAGTCCTCTTCTTTGTGTGAAATTTTCTGAGCTTGGGGTTCCTTGTGAAAAACTGCTTCTACTTTTGTAGTACAAAATGGTAGAATCTGTTTTGTGTACATTATGGACTGTGTTTTTTGTCCTTATTTGTCATTCTGATCCCATCTTGCATCCTGCCTTAGGGAATTCCTAAAAATTTCTGATCTGCAGATATGGTATACTTTGATTATCATTACTATTATGGATTTATTCATTATAAAAAATATTTTCTGTCATGTCAGATGAATTTGAAGCAGAAGGAAAAAAAGATTTTCTAAAACAGTTTTTTTTTTTTTAAGCCTTTCTGGTTTGTAATATGTTTGAAGAGTTTTAAAAAAATTTTTGTCACTTGATTTGGTCATTTGGCTTCTAGAAATTTATCCTTAAAAAGTAATTGGTTAGGGATGCCCCGGTAGCTCAGTCGGTTAAGCATCTGCCTTCAGCTCAGGTCATGATCCCAGGGCCCTGGGATGGAGCCCTGCATCTGGATCCCTGCTCCATGGGGAGCCTTCTTCGCCCTCTCCCTCTGCCTGCCACTCCCCCTGCTTGTGCTCTCTCTCTCTCTGTTAAATAATAAATAAAATCTTAAAAAAAAGTAATTGGTTAGAGGATTGTAGGAAAATGAAGCCTCAGTGCACTTGGCCTATTGTAGGTTGTTTTCCTCTGGAGGGAGTTCAGCATACAGAATATTTAGTAAGGAGTGCCTTTAAGATCAGCATCCGTGGAAGGTAGGGGACAAAGGATTGGATTGGAGAAGAGGGAGGATTGGACAGAGTTGAGAAGTTAAGCTGTGACAGCCTTGGCCAACCCCATGGGGAGCCTTGGGGCTAGAATGGCCCTTCAGAGCTATCCCAAGTTGGGCCAGGATGACCCGGTCTTTGTACTCCATCCTTTTGATACTGGATATGGGGGCCAGCCTGGGAGGGAGTGTGACCTTGGGCAAGGTGGCTCTCCATCTAAGGCAGCTCACTGTTAGAGGCTGTCTGCAGGCAGGACTCCCAATATTTCTTCCTAGAAGCGAGATTTGAATGGTTTTTCACAGTGTCTACCATACCTCTTTGCCACTCCTAACCCCAAAGCTCACTCATTAACCTTTGCTGAACCAAACAGAAGATGGAGCTGTTAGACTGCCTTAAGCCATGAGATGGAGCAGTGATTTCTCTTCTTTGGATTGGAAAACCAGAGAGACCAAGCACCCTGGACTGAAGGACAAGCATATATATACATACATATATATGTATATATATGCATTTTTTTTAAAGATTTTTTTTTTTTATTAGAGCGAGAGTACAAGCAGGGGGAGCAGCAGGGAGAGGGAGAAGCGGGCTCCCTGCTGCATATATATTCTTGCAGATATATGTGATGGACCTTAGGAGCAGTGTAATAGAAATTATATGTAAGTATCTGTAAATATGTTTGGCAAATTATAGGTAAGGATAATCACCAAGTTAAGTTAATTACTTAGAAAATTAAGTAGCAAATTACCTCAGAGTACCCATCAAAATTATAAAAAGAGAAATTATGAGGTAAGAGACTTGGGAGATAGTGAGAATTCCTAAAGTAAAACAGTTAGTTGAAGGAGATACAGTAATTATTCATTCCTGATATTAGCATGATAACCTTGAAAATTTAAAAAATAGTTTTTTTATGGTTCATGTTGAACTGGAAGTTTTCTCTGAAGTTCCTGCCAGTGATCGATTTGTTTTCTCCCTTTCCTCCTTCCTTCAAGTAATTTGTCATTTTGTTGCATTGTCTGTCACTTTTGGACAAAATAAAGTTTGGTTGTTTTAGTTACTCAGCAGTTACAGATGGCTAGGGCAGGTTTCGTGCCAAGAGTTGCTAATGTGAAGAAGTCTTATTAAGTCAGAGTTGGTGAGCTCTCTGTCTTCTCTTTGTCATTCTTGGGTGGAATTATAATACCCTGTCCTAGGATCTATAAAGTATAAGAACACAGAGTGCATATTTTCCAATAATAGATCTTGAGTTTGGCTTCTTTAAAAATTACCATTATTTTGACGTTTGCATGGTT